TAGAAAAAAAATATGAAAAAATATTTAAAATTATTCAAAAATACTAAAAATATTCCAAAATAATAAAAAAATTATTAGAAATATTTAAAAAATAATACAAAAATATACTCAATTCAAGCTGAACCAGGCTCAAAAACCACATTAAATCAATGAAAAATTCAGAATTTACCCTACCAATCAATGAAATAATTGACTTAATAATAAAATAATAATTAATAAATAAATTAATATTTTTTTTTTTAGATTTTCCATACCTGCTATAGCTGTAGATGGGCTCGAAGGCCTCCCTGCCCGAGGCGGGTTCAATGCACCCCAAACCCTTTGGGGTTCTCTCACTCAACTTTTTATCAATTTTAATCAATTTTTATCCATTTTTATCAATTTTTATGAATTTTTATCCACTTTAATCCATTTTTATCACTTAATTCCAACCCAATCAGGCACAAACACCGATTTAATTTGGATTAAATCACTCAAAATTCAGAATTTACCCTACTGATCAATGAAATAATTGATTAAATAATCAAATAATAAGTAATAAATTAATAAACTGATAATAAAAATGATTTTTTTTAAGTTTTTCCACACCTGCTGTAGCTGTAGATGGGCTGGAAGGTCTCCCTGCCCGAGGCGGGTTCGATGCACCCCAAACCCTTTGGGATTCTCTCACTCAAACCCATCCCCACATTTTTATCAACTTTAATCATTTTTTATCAATTTTAATCAATTCTTATCCACTTTGATCCATTTTTATCACTTAATTTAAGCCCAACCAGGCTCAAAAACTGATTTAATTTGGATTAATTTGGAATAAATCACTCAAAATTCAGAATTACCCTACCGATTACCGATGTAATGAATTGAATAATCAAATAATAATAAATAAGTTAATAAATAATTATTTTTTTTTAATTTCCCATACCTGATGTAGATGTACATGGGCTCGAAGGCCTCCCTGCCCGAGGCAGGCTCGATGCACCCCAAACCCTTCTCTCACTCAACCCCATCCCCACATTTTGGAGATTTTTTACCCATTTTTACCAATTTTTATCAATTTTTATCCATTTTTTATCAATTTTTATGAATTTTTATCCACTTTTATCACTTAATTTAAGCGCAACCAGGCTCAAAAACTGATTTAATTTGGATTTAATTTGGAATAAATCACTGAAAATTCAGAATTTACCCTACTGATTACAGAAATAATTAATAAAATAATCAAATAATAACTAATAAATTAATAAACTGATAATAAAAATGATTTTTTTTTCACTTTTCCATACCTGATGTAGATGTACATGGGCTCGAAGGCCTCCCTGCCCGAGGCAGGTTCAATGCACCCCAAACCCTTCTGGGATTCTCTCACTCAACCCCATCCCCTAATTTTAATCCATTTTTATCAATTTTCATCAATTATTATCAATTTTAATCAATTTTAATCACTGAACTGAAATCAAACCAGGCTCAAAAACCGGTTAAACTTGGATTAATTTGGAATAAATCACTGAAAACTCAGATTTTACCCTACCGATTACAGAAATAACTAATCAAATAATCAAATAATAATTAATAAATTAATAAATAATTAATTTTTTAAATTTCCATACCTGATGTAGATGTACATGGGCTCGAAGGCCTCCCTGCCCGAGGCAGGTTCAATACACCCCGATCCTTTTCCTCTCAGGAACACTTTGGCCCCGGTCTCCAGCTGGATGTGCTGCAGGAAGGAACAGCCCGGCCCCTCCACCTTCTCCTTCACCTGGAACGCGGGGACGGCGTGTTCTAAACCCACAAACAGCTTATCCTGGACATAATGGAGCTGGAAATAGGAAAAAAATGGATTATTG